AGCATAGAAATTTTCTAAATAAATAAATAAATAAATAAATAAATAAAATTCTCACTTTTTTTTGACCCTGTGGAAAGAAAACTCTCCTGACAACAATTTGACCCTCAGCTATACAGTTCAGCAAGGAGCAAAAGGGTACTCTGGGCAATCAACAATAAATAAATCCTGAAACACAGCAACACTAACTTTCATCCTCAACAAAATTTGAAAAATAAAATCCACAATATTGATGGGAAACTGTGAAATTCCATCTTTAAAGTTAAAAAATATATGTTTCAGTTAACTGAAAAAAAAAATCTATTTAGTGTGATATAATCTGCCATCTTTATTAGTGTACCAATGCTACCTATTTTAGTTTAAGACACATGGTATACACTTAGTTTGAGTTGACAAGACTACCTGGAACCCTCTACGTGGGGGCAAAACCAGAAGGAGGGACAGGTGTCAGCTATCTGTCCCTCCTCCTCCTACGCGGACACTTTAAGCCCCCACCACTGTAATGTCCATTGCCCATGACCACCCTAATGGCGGCGCCCACGCGCTCCCCAGGAAACACAAACGTCGACATGGCCAGGGACAACTCCATAAAAACAAATTAAAATACAATAAAATTATAAAAACAATCAAAAACTCCCCATTTCCCCCCCCCAAAAAAATTAAACCCCCCCCCCCCACCAACCTAGTCCCCCGCCAGCCAGCCCCGCACAGCCACGAATGGCCACAAACGGCGGCACCGGCCACAAGCCGTGTCCGGTGGGTTAAGCTGGCGCCCGCCCGCGTGCCCCGCCCCAATCTGGCGTATCCCTCACCGGCACTGACGGGGGGGGAGCAGGGAGGGGCACGGAAACCCGTCCAGCGGCAAGATGGCGGCGCCCTCCTCCGCACCATCGGCGGGCCTGGCGTGGCCCTGGCGTCCTCCGTGCCCGGGGTGGCCCAGCGATGGCCACAGGAGCGGCGTCAGCTGGCCCCCGGCTCGGCGGTTTGCCCTAGTCCGGCGGCGGCGATGGCGCGGCAGGTGGTCCGAGCCGTGGAGTGCGGCAGATGTTCGGGGGGAGGAGGGAGGGAGCTTTTGTTCCCTTTTGTATATCCTTTTGTTATGTCTGGGGTAATCACATTACTGTTCTTCACATTACTGCACAGGAATGAACTCTGCAGTTTTCATGGTTACATGCTTATCTTTTGAGAGCCTTTAAATTCCACAGCAACCACGGAACGTTATGGTTCACAGGTTTAGCCCAATGTTTCTTGACACTTCTGAGATATAGACTCAACAGCGCTGTAGAAACTGGGTTAGGAAGAAGGGAAGAATTGCCACTGCTTGTATGCTTACTTGCATGTTGTTCATGTATTCAAACAGAATCAGTCGATGAATGTGTAACAATCTTTACAGAACTGTCAAAACAAGCACTGGTGCAAAATAAACTTTGTCCATCTACTTCAGGTTGTCTATTCTGTAGATATTCTGGAAATTTTAGGTAGTCAGTGTATTCAAGTAAAATGGATTCCATGCTTTGAGGGAGAATGTTTAATTCTTTAATATGCCGAACTTGTAAAAATAGTGTAAAAAGAGGCCAGGTTAAATTATCATGTTTGTCCTCATCTCAAAAAGATACTGGGTAAAAACATCAGTTGTTTTTCCAGAGTTGAAGTTTTTGATTTTTATAAGTTTACATGTTGTTCCATGAATGTGAGGAGCTTGCCTAGTTTCTAAGGGCATATACTTTCCTATATAATGTTCCAAGTTCAACCAGTGGTGCATCCAAACCAGTGTTTCCCTGTCTACTTTTCATGTTTATGCCTGACAGACCATACATGAAGTAATGAATGGCTTGCATAAGAACCAAAAAGCTGTTTCTGCGAGCATGGTGATATTTCTTGGATTTACCACGACCATAAATCTATGCATTCATATCCCACCAGTTTCTGCAATGAAGTAATTCTGTCTGAGATCATGCTGCCAACATGGTGCTGTCACATAGCCAGTTGGGTGTTGGCAGGAAGCATCGTTCTCGCTTTTGCTTTGAATGAGAAGGAATGCACCCTCTCTTTGCCCAAGTAACTGGGCAGTGCTCCTTTTCTGTCTATACACTGCAGTAAGCATTTCATTGCCTGTCACCACAAAATACCAGGGGAAGGCAGCAAGAATTGTCTGGTTGCCCTGCGAATGCAAATGACATGTTCTTCCCACCTGTACCCACCCCCCACAAACACACACCGTATAGACAGCATTCCCAGTTATAACAAGCATAACAATCCCTAGTACTGTACCCTTAAAATTTGCTGGAAACAGGACCTTATTAACAGGAACAGAACCTTTAATAAAAAGCAGTGGTTCAGCTGTATTCTGGATGCTAGAAATATAGGACAGACATTAACTGTGTAGTAATTTTTTTAGGGAAATGATTATTTTCAACAAGACTGGCATTTGACCTGGCGTTGGTGGAGGCAAGTAGGTCACAAATAAAGATATATATTCCATGTTCCGTCCCTGTGTCTTAACTCTGTACCCAACTTCACAAGTGTATATTTACAATTTAAGAACTATTCACATTTTTAACAAGGAAACAGAAAGCAATCTTTCTTCCATCAGAAAATTCTTCAGAGATTGCAGCAGTGCATACAATTCCTTTGTTGTTAGGTATGGTTTTCCCACTTAGTAATAGCAGCCACAGGAGTTGATACTAGAATTCAAAATGCTTCTTAAGGGAAGATAAACTATTATATCAAAATAAATATGCCTTCATTGAAAATGTGATGAACTTGATAGCCATAAAGTGCAATCCTTTGCGCATTAAGACAGAAAATAAGACCTACAACTTCCAGTCAACTTTTTTCCTGTCTAGGTATGCATAGAAGTATGCTTTTGAACTCTGTGTCAGATTAGTAGAAATATAACTGATTCAAATGGGTAAAATATGCTGAAGAACACCTGAAATTCAGATCCCATCATTTCCAGCATCCTGCTTTTATATCTCTCTTCCAACACAAATTCCTGAAATCTACATGAGTAATGCTGGACCTCTTACTTAATTTGCCATTTAAACTGCCCTACTAGTGAAGGCTTCTTTAAAAGTTCAGAAATGTCTGATTAACAATTCAACTAACAACTTACATTTCCAACAGAACATGGGTAACGAATCTCACATCAGTATTTTCAGTATATTATTGGTTAAGGTTTGTTCCATGAATTAATGGATTTATTAATTTTTGTCTCTACATTAAACTTATAGGAGAGCCACACAGAAGAACATGAAGGTGAAGAACAGGTTCATGAACAGCCCCAGCAGCAGGAAGAATACTGATTGTCTGGCACTCTTTTAATGTTATGTGGGAACTTTCTTCTGAAGAAGGAACGTGTGTGGCCTCAGACTTGAAACCAATCACTCTCAGTCTGCCATTAACATAAATGTACCATAGTGAGTGTCAGCCAGCTGCTGCATTCTGTACCCATCCTTTGCCAAGATGTGTTTGCAGAAGTCTTCTTATCAGGGTATGCACCTGAGAAGGTCTCTGGGCTTTGTTCCCAATTTCTGCCACTGCAACTTCACTATTTGGCTGCTTGAGATTTGTTCAGCTTTTTAAATATATATATATATACATATATATATATATAATATATTTATTTTTCCTTTTGTCTTAAGTATGATACATTTGTAATTTGTTCAAAACTATTTATATGGGCATCTCTTATGATAAAGTGCTATTCTGTTTGCTTTCTCACATGTCATGGTAATTTGATCCACTTGGGCATAAACTGGGTCAGTCTGTGTGAGGCAGGAAAATCAACTGAAGTAATAGCCAAAATATATTTCTTCCCTTTCCTTATGACACATAAGGAAGCAAATTTTTCCTAATTAAGAAGAAAAGCAAAACACCATGAACTATAATCCTCCCAATGTTGTACACCAAAGCATGTTAGAAAACTGCAGTCTTTTATATCTGGAAGATGCATATATACCTGTCTAACTCTTACACTGAGAGCTTTGTGACATTGTCCCTGCTGCTAGAAATGTTTTTCCTGTTTCAATTCCATATTCAGTGTCTGTCAGTTAGGAGTCTATAAAAGTCTTCACTACTATATTGGTACCTTCCCATGTCACTTGGACTTAGACTACTTAAGGAAATGGAGATTATGAGGATTTGCCATTTTCCTTTTGTGAATGTGGTGGATAAACACATTTTTATTGTAGGATTGGGCATGCCAAAATATTTACAAGCACAATCATACATAGTTTTCTTTTCCCAAAGTCATTCTATACATCCATCTTTGAAATGTATTGTTCAGTGATGACCTTTCCACACAGATGCTAATGCCAGTTTTCAAGCATGCTCGGTCATAAAGATACATTAACACAATATAAGAGCAGATCTTTTGTCTATCTGTCTGACTACTGAATGAATTGGCAAGGCACAGAAGCAAATTGTTTGCTTTGAGAAACATTTATTGCCACCTGTTTTAATATTACCCTTCTTGCTGAACTTGCACTTAGATGATGAGATTTTATAATAGAGCTATAGCAAATCTTTACATTCCTAATTTCTTAAACTAAAATTGCATACTTTCTTGGTCTAGTTATAACTGTTGTTGGTTTTGGGGAGGATGGTCATTCTTTTTCCCCAGTGGTTTTCCCAGTTTGCTGTTTCACTCCTGAATTTTGGCTGCTTATCTGACTAGGCAAGTACACTGACAGGAATCTAATAAAAAATAAGAACAGTAGCCGTTACTGAAGGTCGCGGCTACGGAAGGCTTCCATACAGCCTTGCAAACAAAGCTATTTCATCAAGAGTTAGCGGTGATTTCCTACTTTCATGTACACATACAAGATTCCCTTGCATCTTTAAAGAAATTGTCTATTCTTGTAGAAGCCTCCTGCAAAAGAGTGACCCTTATTTAGTGGCAGCTCAGGTAGTGTTTATAGTTAATTCTTTTAAATGTTCAAACTTTTTTATTTTGTTATTTTCTTAACTCACTTAGCTCAACAAAATTATAGCCAGGTGGAAATTGTTTACATAGCTTACCCCTATCATATACCACCTCATTACTGTGAAAATCAAAATAACTTGACCATAGGTAGTTAACTTCTTGTATATTGATAACAGAAGTGATTTGGCTTCATATAAAGGCTTTATGCATAAAAAATTACAAAACACAGTTGCTTTCAGAAGGATTAGTATCATGTCATGATACAGCAGAGAAAGAAGGTGTAGTTGGTTTTAAAATTACCATGATGATTATTACTAGTTACACTGTCTCCAATATGCCCACTGCAATCACAGGGAATGTCCAATAGTTAAAAAAAATATGAACCAGCCTTTAAGCACCGCTTCATCACCACTGATTGTATTTGTGTTTCTTTTTCCTCTTGTGCAGATCTTCAGAACACTTCCTTTGAAAGCGCTTTCTGGGCGTCTTTGTTCTTAGATAGTTCCCATTAAAGCTTCTTTGCCCCTTGGTCCTGTCACTTCAAAGTGTGTGTGCTAGTGTGAGTGAAGGGAGGGTTATATATCGTAGTTTCCATCTGTTCTTTTTGCATAACTAATTTGTGCATTGGTTTCCCTCAACCATTTTTTTGTTCTGTTGGGAGAAAGGAAGTGGCTGGCCTAGGAGATTGGAAGATGAGAAAGCAAAGAAGGGTGTGCATGTGCAAAGCAGAAGTAGGCAACTTGTGGCCCTCCAGATACTTTGCCCTACAACTCCTGAGATCCTGTATAATAATGAGCCGACCTGAAATCTTGTGTAATGGGATGGCATACAAAAGCTTTTAATAAATAATAACTCCCATGATTTCTCACCATTGGCTATGGTGGCTAGGGCTGATGGAAGTTGTAGATCAGAACATCTGGAGGGCTACAAGTTGTTCATCCCAGTGTAAATCCTAATCTGCTAGTTGTGCTGAGGGGAGTGAGAGACTCTGGAAAGGGAGAGAAGATTCCCCCTCCACTCTATGGTGAGTAACCCTGTTATTCCGTTACAGTTTTAATATGCATCTGTAATTACTTTTACTAAATAGCACACCATAAAGCTTTGGTTATATATTAAATGTAAACTGAAAGGAATGTAAACATATGTATTGTTAATTATAAATAGATAAGTAATGACATAATAGATGCAAAAGGTCTTATTCAGCTGTATTAATCATTTTGCGTTACCCACCAGTTGTCGCATGATAGACTCTTTTTTGTCTCTGAATATGTGAATAACTTGACTTGCGTTTATCTTTTTACTTATTTAATAAAAAAAGTATATGTTACAATCTGTTTATCTCAATAGACCTTCATGAGTTCGTTGGGTGTTTTGATTTCTGAAAGGTACCATTCAGGCATTTTGAGCTTAGTCAAAGCCAGCCACTTAATACTCAAAAGCTAGTTAGTTACACAATGGATGTAACACGTTTCCTTTCCTGCAGCACATCTTGGGACGAAACAAATGGTAATAAAGAGACGCTTCTTGCAGAGCACTGAATCTACTGTGACGGTAATTTTTTTAAAGCCCAAGGGTGCAATCCTGTGCAATCCTATGCACACTTAGATGGTACAACTCTCAGCAAATTCTAAGGCTTTTTACTGTCTAAACATGCATTCAATTGCACTCTTAAGAATCTGAATCCAAATAAAGCTCTAGAAATAGTATAATGCAGTTACAGAGTTGCAAAAGCCATTCCTTCCATATAGGGAGCCCATGTGCATATCTGTGCTGTGTGTGGAGATGGGGGAAGTTTACAGGGAACTATCTCTAACAAGAAAAAATGTTATTGCGTATACTGATGCTCAGTAGTAGTTGCTATATCCAAGATCAATTTGCATTATATCCCCTGCAAAATCACATTGTCTGATGCCCCCCATCTCGGCAGCATTCATCTAAGCTGTCTAATTGTTGCATTGCAAAGATCCCAAACTTTACAGGTTGCATCATCTGTGTTCAAAGCAGGTTTCCCAAAAATGTACAAAAAGCAGACTCTGACTCGGCATGAACATTACAAACTTAAAGCATCCATAGTGACTTGTCTAAGCTGCAAGTACATTGGGCATGGCTTGTCATGTCATCCAAACCCAAACAACATGGCTTGTTTGAGGGGAATATAACATTCAGTTCAACAATAGGCTGCCACAGCTTGTTTGCATTGTGATAATTTTGCATACCAGACGTATTGGGTAGGGTTGCATAATAAGGGATGGAAATAAACCACTGTAGTGCCCGATGCATGTTGCAAATTACTTTAATTTTCCTGACTGGATGTGATCATTAATAAACCAACCTGGAATCTTAGGAGGAAACATGAGTTCTGGGGTTTATTTGTTGTGTGCTTAAGATGGGTACAAGTGGTTTGGAAAACATTGGCAACATGCGACCAGCGTGTACAGGACACCAAAATAAGCTAGGTGGCCAATTTGTCTTTCTCAATTCTGCAAACACGCTGGTGTGTTGTGTGATGGGACTGATTAAGTTAAGAAAGAATTGTGAAAGGAATTTGTGGTTAAATACATACAGGAATGAGGTCTTGGGAATTTTCTTTCTTCCTCTCTCAAAAAATATACGGTGCAGCAATAATTGTTTCATGTGGGTTATCTGGTTATTCTTGTTTCAATACAGTTTCAAAGTAGGTTGAAGGAAAGTGAGAACTTAGCATTAGAAACTTGTGCATACTTATCTCAGAAAAGATTTCACTGGAAATTTAAAATTGCATTCAACTGTTCTCTGGATTGGGATGCCACCAGGTAAAACAATAGAGTTTAAAATCGATTGCCTTGCCCCATTAGTGAACACCAAACTTTTCAGGAATTTTCTCAAATTACTGAAACATTTGTTGTTGGGCAGTTTATAATTAATTAATTACTAACTAGGTTCTTGATGGAAATATGCTGCGTGGCTTGTTTTAAGAATTCTTATCTATAGATGATGACTGTTTTAATGACTGTTGGACAGAAGAAACTATTTAAAATATCTGAAGAATGTGGAGAAATTAGCAGTTGATTAGTCATACCATAAATAAAAAATGCACTTAATCATGGTTAATATTGTTGATCCATGTCATCAGCTTGTCCCATTCTTCAAAGACCTGGTAAGCTCTTGTAAATTCAAGACTGTGGTGCCCTTTATGCAGTCAATTCCTCTCGTATTTCATCTTGCTCTTCTCCCTTTTCCTTTCCTTAGCATTATTGAATTCTGCAATGAGTTTTTCCTTCTCTTAAGCACAAAAATACAACAGCTTCAGTTTCATCATGTTTTCTTCCAGGGCAGCTTCTAGCATGATTTGCTCTAGGACCCACTTGTTCATCCTTATGTCAATCCAGGGTATTTGCAAAGCTCTCCTCCAGCACTATGTTTCAGACGTATCAATTTTCTTCCTATCAGCTTTCTTCACTGGCCAGCTTTCATATTCATACATAGTGATTGAAAATACAGGAGTTTGGATGATCTTAACTTTGGTGTCCAGTAAAATGTGCTTACACTTGATTTTTTCTTATTTCTTCATTGCTGCCCTTCAAGTCTTGGTCTTCTAACTTCTTGGCTGCAGTCTCCCTTTGGATTGATGATTGGGGTCTTTGTTCTGGTCAGAGGCTTGACAATCATGACAAAGCAAAAAAAGCCACTCAGTTGTTTCTTCTGAAATAGTCTTCATCCTTTAAGCCAACTTCTTTCATTCCTTTTAGAGCTTTCCTGGAGCACGATATCTGGCATCTTCCTTTGGTTGCTAACTGTTGTCTTCAGTGATTCCAACCAGTCTTTTGGTTCTGCTGCTGCTTTGTCTTTTTCAAGCCCTTTGCCTGAACCTGCCACACTAACTGAACTGACCTGCCATTTTAAACATTCATTCATTCATTCATTCATTCATTCATTCATTCATTCATTCATTCATTTTTCATTGCTTTGCTGCCCTATAGCTGAAGCTCTCTGGGCAGTATACACAAATAATAAAATTGTTTATTAACTAGCCAGCTAAAACCTGGCCTCCTTTAGTTTCCTGTCTGGTATATAAACTGTGGGTTTCCTCTGGAACTGTGATAACTGACAGTTGATAGTCCCATATGTAAAGTAACAGGCTTCAGTTTAAGCCTTTTTATCTGTCACTATATTACATTCCACAACACATTCTGGGTTTTACATGCACATAAATTCAAAATTAGTTAATGTAGGCAGGTGGATTCAGTACATTAACTACATCAGAGGAAATTCAGTAGTGCAAATGAGAGACTCCTAGTGACACAAACTCAAATCTTAAAACCGCATTTAAAAGTACAGTGTTTGGATACCAAGTTATTTTCTGCTATATAAATAATTATATGAATGGAAGACTATTTCCTCAGCTCAGAGATTATGTAAAATGTATAAGTATTTATATAACCCTGTAGTTCACTCTTCTGTATATCTGATCAAGTCACTAATACTCCCATTAAACAATGTTTTAACACCCTGTTTTGAAATATAGCTATGAAATGGTGGAAATATATGTCCATTTCTTTTTAAATGTAGAAGCACAAATTGATTGCTGCTATGGTCAGTGTGAATTAAAATTGCCTGTCTCGAGAGCTCTCACCTATATAGCTGGTTTTGATCTTCCAGTATCAATATTTGCATACTGGTTTCTATTATGGCACAATTAGCAAATCAGATTTAAAGAACTTTAGCAGATACAGCCATTATGTTGCACTAAACCAACATTCCTTAACATATTGCTCTTTACATTTTAGACCACAAGTCTCAGTATTCCTGACTATTGGCCATGCTGATTGAAACTTAGAGGGGCTAAATTTACCACGTTTCAGTAGACTGCACTTAACCTTTGAGATCATACTTCTAAGATTCCTGCCAACACTTTATAATGAAGTATGCAATATTATAGCATAGTTAACCTCCTCCAGATGTCCTGAACTACAACACCTAAGCCTCAGTTTGCATGAACAAAACTTGGGAATTATGGAGATTGTTGTCCAAAACATCTGGTGGACACCAAATTGCCTATTGCTGGCCTAGAGGTATGAGCACATGATCTTTTGCATAAAAGATGCAAAATGGGTGCAGTATAAATCCAAGGAACAACAGTGAATTGCTTAAACAGTACATAGATAATACTGGTTATCTTGCAGTGCAATCCTATGACTGTATATTCAAAAGTGAGTCCTGTGGAGTTGAATGGGACTTCCAGGTAATTGTGAATAGAATTGTAGTCACAGTTTCAAGCAGGATTCACCTATTTTCTCAAAAATACTCTATATTGGATCATCTCCTATTACAGTTTACTACTTGGGCCTGGAAAGAGAACATTCCTAATTTAACAGTATTCTAGCCATTAAAAAGGAATATTGTGATTATAAATTCTCCAAAGTTAGCCTGTACATGAGGAATAGAGAGAAACAGTGAAATACAGTCATCTTCAGATACAAATTCTTTTGAAAAATAAGGTGGGAAGGGTGTACTGTGGACAGTGTCACTCAGTACCTCAAGGAGCACTGTGTCAAACAAGAAACTTCAAGAGGGAAAGACACATCCACAAAAATCAATAGGTAGCTGACAACGCCATCCCACAAAAGGTAGAACTGAGGTCATACTATTCTTAGGGTGATCATTTGTTTGGTTGCTTGTTTGCTTATTCTCTAATGTAGAGAATAACATTTAATGCACATTTGCAATGTTACTTAAATAACTATAAATAATGTAATTAGTCTCTTATTAATTAGTCTGTTTCTATGCCAGATTAATATCTATTATTTCAAAAATCAAACTGATTAATGGGGATCTGTTTTTTCATTGAGTTATTAGAAAAATATTAAGAATGTTTACCAGGTTGTTACAAAATTATCTTTATTTCCACTCTAGCTAGATGAAAGCATCTGGTTAATTTCTTTGTCATTTCTAAAATGAGAACCTTGGGCATTTTCCCATGATCTAGTGATCTTAGTTCTCACAACTCCCAACAGTACTGCCACCAATTCTTCATAACACAGCCCTACATCCTCACCACTGAACAATGAAAACAATAATAAAATTTCATTAGGAGTTATCTTTTCTTGTGTTACCCTACTCATCCACTGTATTACTTTGTCCCAAGAAGATTTGATCTTCCAATAAAATATCAACATGTTCAAGTGAACTCCTTAAACCACAGTTTCAACAACACATCTCAGATAACTTGTTAATTTTCTGTATTTAGTGGGGTGTAAATGCCATTTATGCACTGTTTTAAATATTTTAGATCTAGCTAATACAGACTTACAGGATGATCTTAAAAGGAAGAATGAAACTGGGGAGACATCC